TACAAGATTCCTTTCACTGGTCAGGCAACTTTTCTTTATGCCAAATAGAAGTAATTATATTGTGGATCTTAGAATGTAATATTTCACCTCCTACTTGAATAAGTTCTGCCAGAATTTGATCACTACCTGGTGATTTATACGGTTTCAATTTTGCAGTAGCAATTTCAACCTCAAAAATCCTTGGATAAGGTATTAACGGCTCAGCTGTCTGCATTTCTATCTGCCTAACATCACTGACCTATGTACATTCAATAACTGAGATAAGTAGTTCTTCCACCTATTCAAAATGTTGTGGGGAATCTGCAAGCAGATCACCATTCTCACCTCTCACTAAGTTACTTCTAGGTTGGTAACCCCTCTTAAAGGCATTTATTCCTCTATACAGGTCTCTAATGTTCTTGTTCTTACTGTTCATTGCAAGCTCTTCAATTTTGTCTTTCAGATATTCCCTCTTTTTATTCCTGAAATGCCTGCTGGTTTCACGTCTTATATTGTTCAGATTATCCCCATTTAACTCGCTTGGATCCTGTAACCATTGAAATTTGGCCTGCTTTCTTTGATCTAATAATTTTGAGCATCCTTCATCGAACCATGGCTTATGCTTCTTCGGTTCATAATAACCTAGACTCTCTTTGGCAGACATTTTTATATTCTCTCTAATAGTTTCCCAAGCTTTATTAACATCCACCTCAGTGTCCAAGTTTTCCAAAGCCGCAAACCTATTTGAGATATCAACATGATACTGCTCTTTACCCTCTACCTCATTTAATTTCTTGAGATTGAACCTCTCCATATGAACTCTGTGTGTTGTTTGTTTGCTCACTGCCAGTCTTTCCCTAACCTTTGCCACCAGCAGGTAGTGGTCAGTATCACAATCTGCTGCCCTGAATGATCGAATCTCATGTATGCTTGAATGCCGTCTCCTGTCTCTCAAAATATGATCAATTTGATTGTGTATCATCCCATAAGGAGATGTTCGAGTAAATTTATGGATGTTAAGATGCGGGAACTTTGTACTTTTGACAGTAAGATTTTTTGATATGGCAAAGTTTACTACTCTAACTCCATTATCATTACTAATTTCATGCAATCTCTCATTCCCAATCGTTGGTTTGAAAATGTCTTCCCTCCCTACTTTGGTATTGAAATCTCCTAGCAAAATTTTTATGGGGTACTTCGGGAATTTATCAAATACATGTTCTAGTTCTTCATAGAACCTGTCCTTTATGTCATCAATTTTATCTTCTGTTGGGATGTGAACATTCGTAATGATAATATCACACCAGCGACCTTTTAGTATTATATATGATATCCTATCACTAACGAACTCTACCCTCTTAACTGCCGATATGATTCTCTTATGTACGAAAACACCTGTACCTAATTCATGATTTTCATTTCCCTTTCCATAGAAAAATGTTTATTCGCCTGCTAGTGCAAGGCCCCCTCCTTCCCATCTGACCTCCTGTACCCCCGCTATATCTAACTTATATTTTAAGATTTCTTCCGCCACTGCCCTGGGCGAACCTGCCCTATACATACTTCTAACATTCCACGTGCCGAATCTCATGTCCATCCATTAGATAATGTTAGAATGATCAAATCAAGAAGGTTAAGGTGGGTTGTAGCAGGAACATCCTTAGTCTTAACTAGCCAGGTCAGTCATGAAACCCCAAACATAAAGACCGAGGAACTGATAATGTGCTGCCTCGCCGGACTGGTCTCCAACCTGTGGGGAGAGGAGTGATGCCATGCGCAGAACGTCTGGTCTGTGAACTGCCGTCATACATCGCGGCATTGTCGTCACAAAAACAATAGTCTATTCTTAACTTGGAATAGATACAACGAAGACTTCACCTTACTCGGTTACCAGCCAAGTTTGGGTTAGAGCTGAAGTCCCGAACGTACAGACATAGGATACAGATAATGAGCTGCCTTGTCAGGGCTAACGCACACCACAGGGGGGCAGTAATAGATGAATACAGAGAAATGATGAAATGGTGATTATCCGGGGAAAACTGAAGGAGCCCGGAGAAAAACTGCCCCAGTGCCACTTCATCCACCAGAAATCCCACATTTCCTAACCCGGGATCGAACCCCAACCGCCGCGGTGGGAAGCCGGCGAGTGGTACGGCCTAGCTAATAGCTAACGTCTAACTATCTAAATTTGTATGGTGATGGGGTTTCAAAACGAAATAAATTTTCTTGAGGATATCTGTATCCAGAACAAGGTTACATTTTGGGGGTCACAAGCATTTCTGACTGTTTTGTACTAACTGGCCCATTACATATTTTAAATTATGATTAAAGAACACAACAAAATTCTCTGTTGCAACTATCTTTATAAGGCCAGACCTCATCCATTTATCTGTTTTCCCATTACCTATTTCCAGGAAAGTTTTCCCCGGAGAGGCGGTACGATTTCGATCACCAAGACATGGCGCAGGAAAATTTTATTAAGCTGACATTGCTTGTATGCCCAAGCGAACGCTATCGGCCTCAGTATTGTCCTTACTCTTTTTTCTTGCTCAACACAGACTCACATGAGAAGTCTGAAAACATGTTTGTCCAAAGTGCGTATCAAGCTATCTGCAGCGGCCTATTTATTCTGCGCGTTCAAACGGCCACATCTCGTTGTACTAAACTTCAAATTTCTTGGCAATGATGAAATCGTCGACTTCATAAAGAAATGAAAAGGAATTAAAATTCTTATAAATTAAGACTCATTTTGGCTGACAGTGCGTTAACTCTTACCTTTATGCTGGATGCATAATCATCATCAGTTTATTTGGCTGCAGCACTCCAGAAAGTGTTGGATCACGGAGCCCAGTGTTATGATTTGATAAATATATTTACAGACTATTCGGATACACGTACTCATCCCATCTACAGGATCGAAGGTTGAAGCAAGCAAGCAGTAAGTGATCTGCTTGCTTGACTTACCATTCTACTCTGAAGAAGAAGGCAGTATGCTGCTCCGAAACGTCGGTAAACTTCTAGCGACAACACGGCGTCACATCTCGGATGCAAACACTCTGCTTGCTACTTTCCTGGCCTACTCGTCTACCCTGAAGAAGCAGGCAATATTTTACTCCGAAACGTCGGTAAACTTCAACAAACTACACGGAGTCACATTCACATCTCAGATGCAAACAATCTGCTTGCTGCTCGCGTGGCTTACTCATAGACTCTAAAGAAGCAGGCAGTATGCTACTCCGAAACGTCGGAAAAATTCTACAGATTACACGGCGTCCCTTCTCTGGAAATTGTATACTTACTCTTCATAGTCACTGCCGTGACAGCCTCAGATCTCACAGCGTTACTACATGTGATGACGTCAACGTATAACTTATCACCTATAAAACAAAAAAAAAAAGTTTAGTAACTTCTGGAATATAATGCCGTGTAGTCCATTGAAAGTCAGCAGAGTAGCTTGACACTTGCTTCCACTCTAGTATCTAACTTGGCTTATTCGACTCTGAAGATGGAGGAGATATATTCCTCCGAAACGTCGGTTGATCTTCAAGTCAGCAGAGTGGGTTGACACGTGCTTTCTCTCTAGTATCTTGCTCTGCTTATTCGACCCTGAAGAACTCTTCCGAAATGTCAGTTAACTTTCAACGGACTACACGCCGTTATATCAGAGAAGAGAGTATTCTTCATAACCGCAGCTGTGAGAACTTCAAATCCTACAGAAAAGAATCTAGCAAAACGGCGCCTTTTTGTTACAGATACCACGGATATCAACAAACTGCTTAGAACGGTTGTGTACACTTTACCCTGGGTACAAACAGTATATATCTTCCTAAACAACACTGTACTATGGCCGAAATTTTATATTCTTTGCTTTTTTTTTCTCACTGATATGTTGGGATTTTGGACTTTATCCATCGTCCTGGTTTTTAAGATAACAAATAAAAACACGACGTTTCGGAAACTGGATCTGTTTCCGTCCTCAGGTGAAGGAAAACACCTATTCAGTTGGGTCCCTTAGAAAGAGCTAGCCTCAATCACTGGTCCAGTGAGGACTGAAACAGATCCAGTTTCCGAAACGTCGTGTTTTTATTTGTTATCTTAAAAACCAGGACGATGGATAAAGNCAGTGGGCCTAGGCCTACCTCCATGAACTTCTCCGTTCACTTCGGCTTTTTCTAGATCTTACACATTCGGTAGGACTCCTTGGGCGGGTGATCAGCTCGTCGCAAGGCCTCTACCTGTACACAAACACAGAAAAACGCACACACACAAACTAAACATCCATGGCCTGAGTGGGATTCAAACCCACGATCCCGGTTTCCAAGCGAGCGAAAACAGTACATGCCTTAGACCGCTCGGCTACCGTGACCGGCCTTTGCTTTCTTTACATACCAAAAAAATAAATCTCCTCTTATATGTTCAGGGCCAGACTTACAACTGTGGGGGCCCAGGGGGCCAATCAAATGTGGGAGGCCCTTGTCAGTAGCAACAATTTTAGATGATGACAGTTCTTTTGTTGTTTCTGTTGTTATTGTTTCGTAATTAATTGTTATAATAGAAAACAAACTTTTCGTGATTTTAGAGAAGTAAGTGTCTCAGAAAAGTGTGTGGATTCTATTTCTGTTTCACGGAGGCCCTGGGTGACAGCTCCGGTTCCAATGTCTTGAATCCGGTCCTGTATACGTTTCTTGGCTGTCTAATACTGAACTTAGGCTATTGTTCGTAAGTACAGGCCAGAGTTGCATTGGGAAGGTTTAAAATTATCTAATCGTACAATGTTTATCAAGGCTTTTAGGAAAAGAAGAGGCATCTGAAACGGAAAAGCTATACATTCTGCACAAGCCTAGGGACTGTACTTCCCAGTTCTCTGTTAGTCTCCAAAGCTACTCTTTATTGTACAACAGACATGCTTCCTTTTCGTATTAAAGAAGTATTTTTTTTCTATCCCACCCAGAACTACTTCGTAACTGACGCTTTTCAGGGTTTTCTTCAGTGTCTCTAAGTAAATATGAAGATAACATGTTTACGTTAAAAATACTTCAGACGATTTCTGCCAAATTCCTTCCGATTGGTAACTTAACATACTGTAATCTTGTTCTTAACATCTGACGCCATATTGGCAACACTGCATTTGACAGTGTGCCGGAACCTGTACATAACGAAAAAATACAGGACACGCTGTGTCTAAATATCTTTGAGGTTGCGTCGTCAATCAGTTAGTGGCGCAGATCGTTAGTTCATCATTAGTGTGATACTGGACTCTATTCTTAGCACTGGACTGGAACCAAAATAACCACACCGGAAACCTCGTTTTGAACACAAAGCATTTCTTCCGTCAAGTTTACTGCTTGAGGTATGACGTACCCTCAGACGTTCCAGAGAGCCGATATTCATGAAGATTAATTTACATGTTACGAGTATTTGTGTGTGTGTGTGTGTGTGTGTATTTGCAGCCCTTTTCAACATTTAATGCGGAATTTGTACGATTTTTACAAACACATCTTGTGAAGCAGAACATGCGTAGTTCAGTCTGATCACCCCTCTAGTTCCTTAATCCGCAACATTGAGTCAATAAATCACTGAGGAAGGCAATTCCTTCTGTTAATAGTGTCATTTAATGCGCAATAAAATCACACGGTTTCGTGTGTGGGTATTGACGTTTCGATTACACTATAGTGCGCTCGAAATCTAATAGATACACAGGATAAATTGTGCCTTCTTTCCTCATTGTAACGACCACAAAACGCAAAGCTGTTTGATTGTAGGTGGGGAAGTTTATATAACACTGTGTTCGGGTGGCCGATCGGCAGTTGTTCCTAGGCGAAAGGGTTATTTCCTGCCTTTGAAGTTGGTGTCTCAAAGGAGTTTATTTATTCCAGGAGGCAGCATTTCTGGCATCAAGCCCAGTGACATTATTTGAAGTCGATGTTAATCATTGCTACAGAAGGAGTAATTTTCACTATTCCTAAAAAAGATTACTTTTCTTAATAAAAAGCAGGTAAGTTTTCACAATAACACATTTTTTGACAGATAAATCTGTGAAATTCTATAGATCGGAGTGTGTATTCGTTGCCGCGGTAACGTTTTTACCGAGCCGTTGTCTAGCAACGATAGGGGAATTCACATACAGGCACACAGACTGATGGGAAGGATTTATGAAGTACGCCACTGAGATCGGCTTGGGTGCCATAAGACACATACAAAATTTTATGAAGTCTGGCTCAGACATTCAAAACTTAATAGGGTGGGGGGATACACAAACACACAAACAGCATGATGATATCAGAAGCCTACTTTTATTTTCACAAAATAAGGAAAGTAGGCTAAAAACCTCTAGGTCTACCGAATTTTAATAGGAAAATATAAAAGGAAAACTTTGGCTTAGATGAGTAAAATTAAAATGGGTCTTAAAGAAATAGGGTGGCTGTAGATTGGAATCATCTGGCTAAGGATACTGACCAGTCACAGCCCGTTATGGACAGGGTAATGAACCTTCGGGTTTCGTAAAATGAAACAGTTTCTTGACCTGCTGAATAACGTATTTGCTCTCAAGAAGAATTCAGAAAAGGCACAACTTAGATAGGGCTGTCCGTAGGGGGTTACGGAACCTCGGAAAATAAGCCTATGAGGGGCCCTTAATGTGTTATACTTTAAAAACGATGAACTTCAATGGCAGGAACATGTCGCCTACGTAGTATTAATAATAGAGTTTAGTATTTGTTGCAGATTTCACACACGTTAATCGAAAAACCCAAGTCGTCTGCCAGTCCATGCTATGCAAAGCAGATCATAGCTATCTGCTTGGCTTACGTTATAATGGCACATTAGTCATTTGAATGTCCGTATGCTTGAAAACCACAAAAATTTTTGTCTCTTACATTCTCTGTGCAAGGGCTTCGCCTTGCTCTAAGTTGCGAACATTTTCATTCTCGTGATTTTGTATGGTTTCTGCTTGTTGCCTACGTAATTTTGTGACACGGCAAGCTGAAAGCCACGCGCAACTCGCAAACTCGTGGGGTGTTTGCAAATTACCATTTGGTGTGTCGATCCTGGATGTACAGTAGCTGCAATTTCAGAAGATGAGTTCTTGCCGCAAATTTCCAGGCGGGACAGGTGTAAATCACTACTGACCTAACCAATGATTTATGGAAATTTAATTTTATGTTAGAACTTAATCCCTTGCTTTGGAAGAGGGATGACTTTGGGATGGTTTTATCTGCGTTAAGCCATGATTGGATGAACAGAGGAATCGTGAATATTGTGGTGCAGAAATATATAAACTATTCCAAACATTCAACACAATAGTGAACAAACCATAACATACACTTTTTTGAAAATTAATTCACTCTGTCTGGATTGTTTCTTATAGTCTACAAACGGAACAATTCAATGAGAGCTCTAGTTTATCGTCAGACGGCTTTCTTGTGTTACGAATTTATATTTGATTTCAGAACGCCCGAAAATTATACCTGACACGTGTACTTTTCTTCAGATGTTTACATCTATGGAAATACCAAAGGAAATTTTAAATAAATTCATACCTAAATAATGTAAGCAAAAGCAAAATTTGTTTAATTAAAAGCTGCGTTTCCAAAACCTATTATTTTATGAGCACTTTTATTACTATAGTCTCATTTGCTTTTACGTAGTAGATCTTTCAATAAACACCAGTACCGAAATTCTGCATGGATTCTTTGTTTCTACGAAAAGTGCTACCTGTTCAGCTCACCTTAACCTTCTTGATTTGACTACCTTCAAAATACCAAGGGAATAATACAAATTCTGAAGTAATTTCTTTTGTCCACGATATAGTTTACCCATCATAACTTCAAGTGGCCTGTTTTCAATATACCTCTGTGCTTGCAAACAATTGTAATTGGTTTACTTGCGAAGTAAAACTGTCATGTCTCAAAACTTAAATAAGAAAGGCAAATTACAAAGCAAAAACAATTCTATCTTCTGGGATATAACGCCATATAGTCCGCTGAAAGTCAACCGACGCTTCACAGAAACATATCGTATCCATCTACAGGGTTGACCTCTCGTCTTGCTTGGGCCCTGAAGATGGAGGTGGCATGTTCCTCCAGAACATCGGTTGACTTTCAACGGGCTATATGGCGTTATATCCCAGAAGACAGAAATCTTCATAACTACCGCTGTGAGAACCTCAAATCCTATATGACCGAGCAGATTGGCACAAGCGCCAGTGCCTCTGCCTTATAACCAGGTGGTAGCCGATTCGAATTTCAGTCGAGACACCGGCTATTCTGACTGAGGATTTCGCTGTTTTCTACAGCCGTCCATGGAATATTCTAGATTATAAATAGTATAACGATGGATACCTTTAAATTCCTTTATAATTCGTTAATGATCCTGCCATTCAAAGCTATGCAAACTGAGTTACAAACTTCTCCTATTGTGGCGCTGTAGTCCATGATGAACTTTTGCCTCTTGCACGATTGCTCCCCACTGGTCCCGATCTTGTGACTTTCGTCTCCAGTTTCTACGGCCCATTGTCTTCAAATCCTCTTCAACTGAATCCAGCCACCTGACAGCGGGTCTGCCTACTCGCCGAGTTCCCTCTGGTTTATGTAGAGTTAACTCCTGCAAGGGCTCTGCTCCTGCATTCTAAACGGCTGTCCCAGCCATCTCAATCGCCCTCCTCTGATCACTTTTCTTATATCTGGTTCATGACATAATTTATATAGTTCATGGTTATAGCTTAATCTCAATATTTATTTTCCTTAATCGATCCACAAATTCTTCTTGATATCCTTTTTTCACAGGTTCGCAGTATATTTTCATCTTTCCTCTTTAGAGGTCAGCTTTCAGTTCCATAAGTAAGGATATAAAAAACTCCGTGATTTTAGTCCGCAAGCGAACTAAACCGACCGAGCGACCGCCGCTTGTCGGAGGAGTTTTAGAGGATAGAGGGTGTCGCGTGGTCAGCGCAACGAATCCCCACGGCCGTTATTTTCGGTTTTCTAGACCGGAGCCGCTATTTTCTTGAAATGCCTCCTCAATTATCTTCTCGAGGCAGAGTGGACCCCGTTCCAGTCCCACCAATTCTCAGAAAATCTGGTAGCGCCAGGAACTGAACCCGGACCTCTGGATCTGTAGCCCGGGAACTCTGATCACTAGACCACAGAAGCGGTCTAAGTACAGCTTCGCTAAATAAATAAACAAATGGAAAGTCAATTATTTTGTACTTGCACGCATTTGACCCGTTGTTCCTTGCAGTGACTACCCATGCCTTTGTTTCGAAGGAGCACGTGGTCCAACGGCGCCATGTTACTCCCCGTGACTACAGTGACAGCTCTATGCATGCTCTTCGAGCTTTCAAACTCCACCAACATGGAGAAGGAGCAAGAAGAAATGTTTGAAGCAAGGTAAGGAAATATAACACGAGCGGAAAATACTTCAGTATACTGGGCTACAGAATGCACACCTTTTCCAAAGAGGATCCTTGAATACTTCATGATCTTAACATTATTTCAGGCCTTCTGCGGCTTGATATATATTATTTACACAAATGCGTTAAGCGTCCTCCGTAGTCTAGAGGTAACGTTCCCACCTCATGACTCGTGGTACGCGGGTTCAAATACCCGGCGGAGGTCGTCGAATTTTTAAGGGCGGAAAAATTCAGGGAACAAGTAAGTCCTCCTGGAGGGACTTTAAGCTGTGTGTCCCGTGTCGTAACTTTACGGCACGTAAAAGAACCTCATATCCCCAAAGGGGATCACTGAGCCAAATTCCAGGACGTTTCCCGCCCAACAATAGTCTTTAAGGCCTCTGATAGATGGGGGAAGCATTATAGACACCGCTAAGCAAGTGGCCGAACTCGCTTGCTCGGCGGGACTGATGGTACGCACCATTTATCGGTAGGGTAAAAAGACTGGTAGAATATCATAGAGGGAAGCATAATAGATCAAACTGGTCGCGGTGCATGGGGAAACCCACCCTCTGTAAACAACTAACTACACAAATGCATTCCTCAACGCAGCATTCCGTGCGGTTCCTCGTTTAACCTCTCCTATTTCATGTCCTTTCGCTACACCACCACACGTTTCGTTCTCACAAGGACCATCGTCAGGTGTTGTATGTTGTTGCTCGTAAACTGTTCCACTGCTGGCATAATGACCATGTGCTACGTGTTAAATTCTTTCTTTTCTATTTGCGCAAAATTAATTATTTTTATTGTAATCAAAATTTAAAAATTAGAAGGCCACGTAATATGTCACTTCTCTTAATGTCGTGTAGCAGTAGAAGGTAAAAATAAAAGTAAAGTTATCTCTGTAAAACGCAGTGAAGGCCCATCGAGTTGGGATACGTCGAGACTCCCACATTTTCCAGACAGTCGACCCACAGATGGCTGTGAGGTTGTCAGCCTTACACGCCGGCCACCCATTACCACCACGAAGATTCCTGGTACAAGCCGGAAGGTCGCGGGTTCAAATCCCGAAGAGGTCATTGGATTTTTTTCAATTAATCTAATCCTTCCAGCCGCACTATGGCCCTGGGGTCGACTCAGCCTCTAACAGAAATGAGTACCAGGAATATTTTGGGGGTTAGAGGGTGGCCGGCGCGTAGGGCTGACAATCTTACCGCCATCTATGAGCGGATTGTCTAGAAAATGTGGGAATCTTAATATCTCACAACCCTGTGGGCCTCCACGACCTGTTACAGGGATACATTTACTTTTTAATTTTACTCATTTCTGCTAGAGGCTGATTCGATTCCAGGGCCATAGTGCAGCTGGAAGGGTTAGACCAGTAGAAAAACAAGGAAATGAAACTGAAGTGGTTAAATCAGGAACCACACAGTAAGCTGCATTGACGACTGTGTTTGTGTGCAATAGATCACGCGATAAAATAGTGTAGCTGGATGCTAAAATACAGCCTTCTGCGACTTGATGAAACTCGTTGTTACAGAAGCTCTCAATGCACACCTAACCAACCAACACCGTGGAGGAGTGCTTCTATCCGTATACGCCTGACTGTCATAATATCTGTATTTATTTCACCATCCCGAAATGTGTAACTTAGGTTCATCGGAAACAGATTCGCGAAGAAAGAAAATTCTCTGCCAAATCTGTTATTTTATGCTCTATCTGAAATACCTTGATGTTGGAATTTTCCAACTGTTGTCATAGTTTATATGGATTAATGCATGTATAAATTTGTCACTGTAGTCCTTTGTCTTCTGGTCCATCCTATCACCCGTCTATCCAGCCATCCATCCACCAAAGTTTATTCCTCGCCTGTAATCTCTAACGTGTATACTTTGTATTTTTATTGTTATTTTCAGTTTGCTATTCTAATGTGAATGTTTTGCCATCAGGGGCATATACTAGAACACATTTTGTTACATCACATTGATCTGTGTTTAGTTGCTTCAATAACTGTTTATCTAACGATTCAGTCAATAGCTCAGATCATGTAGTCAATAATGATAACGAATATTGATTTGGAAACACCAAATGAAGTTCTTGCGGCCTAATGTCAGTTACTATCTCGGAATTTGGGTCGAGAGACTGAAGAAAACCGTGGGAAACCTCATAATATTCGGATTCCGGGACGAGATATGAAACTGGAACCTCCCGAATACCGAACAGGAGCGCTAGCAACTCAACCACAATGTTCAATACATGTTTCATGAATTTCCTTTAAGAAACTGTGATTCCTTGCTACTGAGATACTCTTTTGAACCCTGCCAAACGTGGCGACTGTCATTTGTCCAGCCCTGAAATAAACTGCGCTGTATCGGTTGTGAATCTTGTGTTAAATTACCATTTTATAGCCCCCGAGACCTTTGATTCCTTTTCGTCCGGCGGATGCGACTCACAAGGGGAAGTTCTTGTTTATCTACAGTGCCCTCTATAAAAGTAAGCTAAAGTTGTCCCTGTGCTTAACTAATTAAGCATCACGCCATGAAGGACGTATGTGGGAGTGGATGTATAGATCCACATTTTCCTCTATAAATACTAATAGGACCCTGACCTCCTTCGTTTCGATTCTTCTTCTTATTCATACTCCTCTCCTTTCTCTTCCTTCGTCATCCCTTTCCTCTCATCCTCCTTGTTCTTTTGACTCTCCAATTTTCATGCCCATTCCACAAGTAAGTTGTTGTCTTCTCGAATGTAAAGCCATAGTATAGTTTACCAGCGATTCGGAGAAATGTACTGCCTCCAGCTTCACGGAAGGGAGTAGGCCAGTGCTTCTCAACAGCCGGGCCGCGACCCAGTAGTGGGCCCTGGCATCAATTGTACTGGGCCGCGAGAGGCTCTTCTGGAATTTGTCATTTTCATTTTCTGAGCATTTTTCATGAATAAATATTTTATAATGGAAATATTCTGAGGAGAATAATATTTGTGTCGAGAAGCTCAGACACAGAACACCTAAATCTGTGTAGCAAATGTCAGTGACCAAGCCGCATATTTTTAAACATGGAAGTATTCATGAATCATCCGGAATTTTCAGACATCCAAATCTTTCAACATTCGGGAAAGGCAATACCGATGTTTATGACCAGTCATAAAAATTGCCTGCAAGCCGATTACAACAATGGGC